TTGTCGTTCGACGTGTTCGTGGTTATCGTCGTATTTTCTGGCGTACTATTCGTTTTATCGTTTATCGGTTCTACAACTTTCGTTTCGCTGGTTTTCTCCTTTTCCTCGCCTTTGCGCTTTCTAACTGTCTTCCTGCGCTCGGATTTCACCGTCGGACTCTTCTTACCAGTTGCTTTTCGGTCACCTTCTAACTGCTGCGTGTCCGTTGATCCCTCAGTTTTGTCCGTTTCCTCTTTAGTTTTCTTTCTACCGGAATTGCCTCTTTTTGCCTTCTCTTCCTTCTGCCCGTTAGCGTCACCATTCTTCGCCACTTTGCCCTTCGAGCCTTCCGTTTTGTTACCTTTCTTCGCGATTTCCTTTTTATCTTGTGGACCATCGTCTGGACCATCGGTCGTCTTCTTCTGCCCCGGCGATTTTTCTCCGTTCGTTTGGTCCGTTTGACTTTTACGAGGCGATCTGCCGGACGACGTGGCCCGTTTCTTCCCCGCGCTCTTATCTGTTTGCGAAAGTCGGCGGTTAGAACGCGCGGTTCGTGGAACAACGAGTTCGAAAAATGTCTCTGCTTACCTGTGGGGGTGAGCTTCGGGTCGAGTGCTATTCGCTCGTTAAATTCGTTCAACACGTTCTGCATGAAATTGTGTTGCACGAAATTGTCGATCTGAGTCCACGGATCTGTTTGCAGTATTTGATCCATGTCGAGAACACCGTCGGTCGTGAGAAACGACAGCGATGCCCTTCCGAGAATCGTTTTCCGGCTCATTTCGAAAGGCAGGATCGAAAATGGAGGAATTAAAATAGGAGGAGGGCCTGCTTCTGCTCGGGCCAGGAAGAATTAGACCGCAAGCTGAGATCAGTGGAACCGAAGCTGTTCTTAAACCGTGGTCATCAACCACGCCCGTTTCGTTTCCGAGTGTTGAGACGAAAACTAACAAATACAAAATCGATTTTGCTTGCTCGCCTGCTCACTCGTTCTACGTCAAACCGTGTATTTTCGGTTTTCCCTCTGTTTCAAGATGAAAACGAACCGATGGGTGGCCGCGTGTCGAGCAACGCGAATCCACGCTCGAGTATAACGACTAAATTAAGAATCGGTGAGAAACCGAGTCGCGTGCTACCGGTTCCAACGGATGCGCGATCACCACTGGATTTGAATATCAATCGTCAGGTAATACACCGATTATTAAGAAAGGTCGTTACGTCCTCGTTTGTTTGCTCGTGCTAACGATTGTTGTGACAATCTAACGGCTTTCTACGATCGAAAACTGATCGAACGAGCTATCTGTTGCGAGCGTGCAACAAGCAGACTTGTTCGAGGGAACGTTCCATTAACGTCAGTCATCTCTTCTCTTTCCTCGTGGAAATTCCGAGGATCTTGATTTTTAATAAAGTTTCCAACAACAACCTACATATACTCCCTTCTTATTTTCTTATTTAATTTCATTTGATTTATTGACGTGTGTATCTGACCCTTTCACAGCAAACGCATAAGCAGTACAAAAAAAAAAAAAGCATCAATCTTCGTTACGATGTACACAATATTGGCATTAGTTTATTAATTATTCGTCAGCAGTTTTACAATTTTATTCGTGATTATCTAATTGAAAGTAATATAAATGATGGTCGAAATTTTTGAACGGTGGGGGTATATATTTTAAAGTTCGTTTCAATTAACAATGTTTTGTACATACGTGTGATACGCATAATGTGTGTGAAGAAGTTTTCTAACGACAAGTTAGAACACCGTGTAATTGTTTTCATCAAGGCAACGTGTCACAGACGTTAAACACAATGTATGGAAGAGAAGAATTTATTTATAACGACACATGAAAGCAGTGACACGTCGATCAAATTTTCCTATTTCCCGGTCGACGGAAGCGCGTAAATACCGACACGATCTTCCTCGCTGTACAGCTGCTGAAAAGAAAGTTAGATACGACGAGATGGTGAGAAATGTCAAGGTACATGGACGAGATGACGTCACGTTTTTCCCTCAAGTTGCCCGAGTTTACGCCAACGATGGGACTAAATCCTGCTTATAATAGCGGGTAATCGCTCGGAAGAGGGATAAGATGACGTCACTTTTCCAATGATCAGCACGTTACGCACATTCCTGTGACATCAAAATTTTTTCCACCGTGAATGTCGTATTTTACTAAATAACGTACGCAGGCGTAGGAGTCAACTCGATTATTACCTCGCACTCGTTTCTGCGTAGATACTCCGAACAAGAGAAGAAGAGGATAGAGAGAGAGAGAGAAAGATATCGTCCCGTGTGATGATTGCAAAATTTCGAAGAACACGTACGGATCTGCGATCATCTCGATTTGCCTGTTACGCTCTAGATAAATAGACGTAATTGCTCGCTCTTCCACCTCGGTGAAATAATATTTGTACGTTGGGAAAATATTTTGCGCGCTTTGTTCCGTAACTGCGGCTACATTACGCGTTCGCACCTATCATTTCAGTGGCTTACTTTAGCCGATGTGTTTTGATATTTGGAAATATAGAAAGAAAAGCACACAGAATCCCGGCTACAGAATATCCGGCCATAAATCGCCACCCAATTTCGTATTTTTCCGGCTGTGTAACTTTCTGGGAAGATTGCAATTCCCTG